AGTGGTTTTCATTTCCATTCCAGTTCATGCTTAGTAATTTTAATTTCAAGCTTGAGCTTGAAATCTTAATTAAGTGGTACAAGTTTGGTGTGTTCTTGCGATGGACTGATGGCTCTTACTGCATGCGATCCCGGATTCAAAGGTCTGCGATCGCTTCCTGGCGGGAGTCTTCGTCTGGTCGTTGTTTGTTGTTGTTGTTTTCAGGACATTTAACTCTTTCAGTTTTATACTAGTATAAAGTTGTAAATTGAATTTCTTATCTTCCTTGGTCAGGAAACTTGACCGTTTCATTCTCTGCTGCTATGCCAAGAAATCAATCGAGGGAGTTGACTGTGAGTCACCAGTCGATGAATTCTCAAGCTGCGAGGACCTCATGAAGAACAACACGCTTCAGATCTGTATTTGGATTCTTGGAATCCTCGCCTTCCTCGGAAACCTCCTTNACGCAGGTACCTGGACAATAATAAACTCTCTGAAGTACCTTCAGATGCATTTAGTGAACTAACCAACCTGCAATATCTGTGAGTGGTTTTCATTTCCATTCCAGTTCATGCTTAGTAATTTTAAGTTCAAGCTTGAGCTTGAAATCTTAATCAAGTGGTACAAGTTTGGTGTGTTCTTGCGATGGAGTGATGGCTCTTACTGCCTGCGATCCCGGATTCAAAGGTCTGCGATGGCTTCCTGGCGGGAGTCTTTGTCTGGTTGTTGTTTTTTGTTGTTGTTTTCAGGACATTTAACTCTTTCAGTTTTATACTAGAATAAAGTTGTAAATTGAATTACTTATCTTCTTTGCTCAGGAAACTTGACCGTTTCATTCTCTGCTGCTATGCCAAGAAATCAATCGAAGGAGTTGACTGTGAGTCACCAGTCGATGAATTCTCAAGCTGCGAGGACCTCATGAAGAACAGCGCGCTTCAGATCTGTATTTGGATTCTTGGAATCCTCGCCTTCCTCGGAAACCTCCTTGTCATAATATGGCGGATCATTGATAAGGAAGAGAACAGGGTGAATTCTTTCTTGCTGACAAACCTGGCAGTCGCTGATATGTTAATGGGAGTCTATATGTTAACGATTGCGATCATGGACTTGAGATGGCGAGGGGAATATTTTATGCATGACATCAAATGGAGATCTGGTATTGGTTGTCAAATTGCTGGAGCTCTTTCGATGCTCTCCAGTGAAGTATCCGTGCTGATTCTAACAATCATCACGCTAGACAGACTAATATCCATCGTCTTTCCTTTCAAGTTCAATCGCCTTACTTACAAGACCGCCGTTTTCTCGTGCATTGGGGTATGGGTATTTGGCGTAGTCATATCAGTGATTCCAATCACCGGCTTAAGCTACTTTTATGATGAAAGCGGTCATTTTGGTTTCTACAGCCGCTCTGCCGTTTGCCTTCCGCTTCAGCTGTCTGGAGGAATTCGAAAACCGGCTGGCTGGGAATATTCTGTCGCCTTTTTCATTGGTTTGAACTTTATTTCTTTCACCTTCATCCTCATAGCGTACATATCGATGTTCTGGACGGTAAAGCGAGTTTCTCGCGCCGCGCGATCAACAAATTTAAACAAAGAATCCGCCATGGCCAAGCGACTTGTGTTCATTGTGATGACAGACTTTTGCTGTTGGATGCCAATAATTATAATCAACATTTTATCTCTGACTGGAAATTTTGACGATCCAGACAAAATTGCCTAAGTGTGGATAGCAGTGTTTGTTCTTCCACTGAACTCTTCCCTCAATCCAATCTTGTACACGTTTTCCACCGACAGAACTAAACGAAGCTTGGTCCGGAAGCGGAAAAATGTCGTTGGTCTGGTTATGCAGACGCTAAACAGCCGTGGGTTAGGTGGGTAGAACTTGTTCTGTATGTTTTAATACACTTAATCTAAGTGTTATC